TAACTATTATATAAATCAAACTCAATATAATTAATAATTAAGTTTCATAGGAGTTCTCCTAATTTACAGCTTGTCAGATATAATCACCTGAGCTCAGAATACTATATAGGTTACCCCTCCAGTAAACGATGGTTTGTTCCACTTTAGCCCCGCCTCCCCTTCCTTTCCTTTCAACAAGGCTTCAAACGTCAAACTTAAACATGGCATCTGTGAGATAGGTAACGTTTGTAATATTACTTAGGCTACGTAAGCTAGAAGGCTGAACTAGCGTCATGCAACAAGAGTGGCAGAAAAATAGCAGTTACAGGTCATATTTATTTGCGTTTGGGATCAGGCAGTCAATTACACTTGCCGAACAAATGTGGGATAACAAATTATTGTTGTTATTGTCAATAAAACTCCAGGGTAAATTCTAATAAAAATCTAATAGATAATATACATACTTGCGCATCTGAAAGAATGTTTTCGTGTTGCAACCCTTTTTTTTTATGTTAGCCTATTAATCACCCCATGCAAAATTTTCTTGGACCCCCCCTGAGTGGAGCTTGCCATTGTGTTGCTGATGAAATTTGGCCCACTGGGAAAAATAGTTGGGGAGCCCTGTTTTAATGAAATTCTCATCCGTGTTGTAAAAGGCTGTGTGGTGCTCCACACCCAAGCATCTGAGTAACCTGTGGAACACATGCACGTCGATGTCTGGTCACGCATGAGTAAGCGAGAGATTTCTGGGCAGTGCAAGGTTTCCTCTGATGTCACCATGGCTAAAGCTCTGAAGATACGTGCGGTGCTACTTAACGCACAGCAGGCTCTGCGTTTCACTAAGCCCGGGTTCCCATTAGAAGATGGGGCTTGCCGCGATTTCTGCAGATAGGATGCTAATTAGCAAAACGGGCCTATGAGAGAAATTAAACGTGGAATCTGCTCATTTGCATTGCAGCGAAATGTGTGCATATTGGAAATGAAATTAAGTAAAATAAATCAGTTACACAGACAATACCGGTACAGTGTCCAAGATGTAGACAGAATGAAAAAGCACGGAGAACATTTTTTTAATGCATTTTTCCTTTGTTCGCTCTAAGCAACAACGTCGAAAACAATCAAGCCCAGTGGAATGACTCCAGCTCCAACTGCAACCGCCGGAAGCTTCCGCTCCAAGGGGGTCAGCAGAATGACCGAGAATACATACAGTGCAAGGAGATCGCCCCGGCATCAGCCAACACAGAGCTCCCCCTGCAGACCACCTCCAATGGAAAGACCGACTTACTCGGTCTGGCCAGGAACCCTATACTTCAAGAACTCTCTGATCTAGAGACCCAGATTCGGATCATCAAGCAGGAGCTACAGCTGGCCATTAAGAAGAAGGAGGAACTGGAGCAGTACCAGCAAACGACCACCACCACGGAATCATAGGTCCATCCTCGGCTCTCCCTTAAACATGGGCTATCGGAGACACGTTCTGGTGGTGTCTTCTTGCCGAGGATTCGATCGAGCTACTGGATGGTTTCTCCTTCTGTGGGGACGTGGTTAACCTCAGAAACCCGGAACCTATATTTTTGTTCATAACTGAAGACTATCCGTTTGCACACAGTATTTTGGAAATACCAGTTCTTTTGAAAATTGGGACTCTACAGTCGTACAAGAACCTTCAAAGCTACTGGTCTGCACTTGAACACTTTGAAGCAGGTCATGCAGACAGGGCTGCTGCACATTCGGCGAGGGTGTACATGCGCGCACACGTCTCTGAAGTGTGTCGAGAAAAGCAGGAGGCCCACCACACGGCGGGGTCCAGGTCACCTTCGGCGATGATGCAAAAGCTCAGAAAACTCAAAGGCTTGTTAATAATGTATGAATGCAGCTGCTCCTCAGTGGAGTCCCAGGAAAGCTCAAGTCGGAGCGATTTGATGCCTGACACCCCCAGACAATTCGTGCCGCCCCCCATCTCACGGCTGGTTACCCACTTTAAGTGTGCTTGCATAAATGGCGGATCTCTTTCACACCACAAAAGCCTGCCCGTGTGAGGGACTACACCACTGGTCAGACTGCAAAGCATGGCCGATCGCCATGTCGGGAGGCTGAAAGGGGGAGAACCGACTGCCGATTATGTCTCCGCTTTGGCCAATAGTAAGCAGCCCTGGGTTTATTCCCAGAAGCTCCATTTCACATCGGAATTCGCTCACACCGCCATCTGCCTACTTCCCTGCCATTCCGTTCAGGTTGTTCTTGCTGAATCTTCAGTCGGTCGGTTTCATTTTAGCCACAAATAAAGTTCCAAATAAACGTCAAATCATTTCCTCGAAGGGCGTTTTTGGACATCACATCGGGGACACATCACATCGGGGACACACGCCTCACTCAGGCACACTCTCCACACCTACATTTACAGTCATTTAGCAGATAGTTTTATCCAAGGCGACATGCATGTTTTGAGAAGGCAGGATGTCAGTCAGTCCCTGGGGCAGCTGGGGGTTAGGGTTAGGCCCTTGCTCAGGGGCCCAAGCGGTGAAACCATCCCACCAGCCCTGGGATTTGAACCACAACTGTGCACTTCCTCTGAAAACACTGCACCTCCAGTTCAGGTGGGTCAGCAAAGGCTCTTTTGTTTTTTTAGTGGTTCATTAAATCCCATTGCAAGACAGAGATTATTAAGGTATCCAGTCCTGTATACCATTTGGGGGGGGGTGGTCACATATAGTTCAATGCCCATCTCAATGGACTGAACATGAAAGGGGCTTATTTCTGATAGGAGCCGCAGCTAAATGCCGGCCTTCACTTCTGACACTTTCCATACCCTTCCCGTGGCTCCCGTTTGCTCTTCATCATGGAAAGTTTGACGTGTGAGATGGACTTTCATCAGGGCAAATTCCTCACTATAGCAAACCCCGCTGGTGAAACATTTTTTTTTGCCATAACCCCTTTTCACAAGGCCAGACCATAACTGGCGAAGGGCCCTAAAATGCGGCGGCAGACGTGCTGCTTTTTGCAATTTCATAGTTGTACTGAGAATATTTTGCACTTTCATAACATTTTGTAACTTTCATAAAAATAGTATCAGTTCAATGAAAGCTTGCCATTTTGGAAACCAAGGGAAAAATAGGCATTTTATTGGTTTATGAAGGACAATTTTCTGAGCAAGGAATATGTATGAAGAGATAAGTGCATTGAGATTTGAGATGTCAGGAACATTGGGACACTCTCAGTACACGGAGAAAATACACACCAGTTTGTAATTATATCTTTGTGGGGACTCTCCATTTATTTCTATGGGGAAACCTCTAATCCTGACCTTAATCCCAACCTAAACCCCTACCCAGCCCTAACCTTAACCATAAGTAACCAAACAAAACACGACTTTTGGCATTTTTACTTTTTTGATTGCATTCACAGATCTTTGTGGGTACCTGAAAAATGGTCTCCACAATGTAATATAAAAACTTAATCCACACACACACACACACACACACACATCCATACCAACTGGTATAGCTTACTGGTGGTATTTCCAGTGCAGGATACAGGAATGTCCGTGGGTTGGTTGGGATTCACCATTATCCGATACAATCAGCCAATTCGCATTTCCCATGATGCTCGGAGTCAATTAGTCACCCCAATATCTGATGCTACCCACATGCACTTGATTGGCCACTCAGGAGTCCTTAACATTTCCCATATGCCAGCCCCTCACTTCCCCTACTTTCTGATTTATTAGGTGCCAGTCAATGACCCAGTAAAGCTGCCGACAAAGTGGACAACAGCGGTGTAGGAATCTCATCTATGATGCACTAAAGGTCTCCTCAGCTCCATTAGTGTGCTGGTCGGGGAAGCCCTGACCATAATGCCCAAGCTGGGACCAGCAAAGGGCTTTACTACCACGTCCAGAGGTGTTATAATTCCCCCAGTACCTTGCAGGGGGATTCTAGGGAACAGACAGCTTCAGTCTCAATTGACAGAAAAGCTTCAGCAGTCCGTAGGTCTCACCACAAAGGATGCCTGAAGCAATCCCCCGAACCTCAGCCTCACAGCCCACTGCTGGATGGACGTCCCGTTTTGCGGCCGCCTGCCTGTCGCGATCATGCACAGGGAAAGATCTCATTACTATAACCGAACAGTGCAACCTCAGAAACCCTCAGACTGAGCTCACAGATGATGTGCAGCTCCATTAAAGCCTAGAAATACAGTTTCTCATGTGTCATCACTGATTTTGAGCACTAAAACTTCAACAGTCTGTTCTGGAATAGGGTACTAAGCTAGTCATGTGATACCAACGGTGGCAATAGTCGGCGAAGGTGACAATGAGTAGCGCTCTGGTGACATCACTCCTGTCTTCTCAGTTACGCTGCCTACCAGTTCAGTCCCATATCAAATTCAAAATCCTGTTACCTTCATAGCAGTACACGGCCTTGTGCCCCCTTATCAGTCATCTGCTGACCCCTTACTCTTCTCCTCACTCTCTCCAGTCATCTAGCTGCAATCTGCTCCTTGTCCCTCACACCAGGCTTCTCACTAAGGGTGGCAGGTCATTCAGAGCCATTGCCCCCAAACTCTGGAATTTTCTTCCCCAACCTCTTGGTGACTGTTCTTCCCTCTGCACTTTTAAATCTGAATTAAAGACTTTCCTGTTTAATGAACATTTCTCTTCCTGAACTGCCTGGAACTTGGGTTTGTGAAAGGTGCTAAATAAATGGTATTTATCATCATTATTAATGCTACATTGACGGCAGTGGCGATGATGGACGGAGGGACTCTGAATGGTACAATGTCTCGGTAGTTAGATTCCCATGTGTAGGTAATTAAACAGACAGGCAGCTCTCATCTAAACCAGTGTTTCTCAAACCAGTCCTGAGGGACCCCAGATGGTCCACATTTTTGGTCTCGCAGTTCCCTGGGAGTTGGGAGGGAGCAAAAATGTGGACCGTTTTGGGTCCCTGAGGACGGGTTTGAGAAACGATGATATAAACAGCACCTGTGCAAAATCTTACACCTCACACAATAACAACGCAGAATGAGGCTACCGACTATTTATTTTGTGGACAAATGTAAAAATCAAGAAAAAATATACAGCATTTCAGAGGAAATGCCAACTTTTAAGAAAACAATGTACAAATAGGGTTCGATCTGCGATATAAAGATTGTATGCTTCCATGCGAAAGTAAAAAACACGTAACGTCAACTCAGGCTGTCACAATATTTCACTTTTTTCCTAGATATTAATACCAAAACATTGCTGAGGAATTGCAGGCAAAAATTAGCCAAAAAATATTGAGTTTTGTACAGAGATAACCAAAAATAATGATACAAAATCATCAAAGATTTACAGAAACCATAATAAAAAGATTTGCTCGTACAAATACCACATAACGACATCAATATTTCAATATCTTTTTCGTTATATATATATATATATATATATATATTATATATATATTTGCTCTATAATGTAAAAGGAGAGAAGGGATGCATAAATCTTGACCATGTAATAGTTCAAAGCGGACAGTGGGATTAACTACAGCACTTCCTTATACAAAATGTACAAAAAAACATCTGCTTCTAACTACATACAACATAATACTGTTCTTCCGAGGGTGTGACACAGTACAAAAATCCTTTTGTGTCTAGAGGTGTTGAGGTGAGGCGAACGTGACCCTGTGCTGTCCCTTTAGTCATGTGACCTCCGTCATTGACGCCGCGTGGTTCTGGAAAGAAAGAAAAAAAAATGACATGGGACTGCATTACGACCTGCCTGGTGGGGGGGCGGGGGGGAGGGCCCATTAAGGAGCAGTCGTCCATCATCAGTTGAAAAAATCTGATAATTTTATAAATATAACTATAATACTACGGTCATGGAAATGGGCACTGATAAGTTCAGACAGCAGAAATAATCTATTATGCCATCTAGCTGGCACTAGGATTTCCACATCCAGTCTTATGCCATCTAGCTGGCACTAGGACTTCCACATCCAGTCTTATGCCATCTAGCTGGCACTAGGACTTCCACATCCAGTCTTATGCCATCTAGCTGGCACTAGGACTTCCACATCCAGTCTTATGCCACCTAGCTGGCACTAGGACTTCCACATCCAGTCTTA